AAGAGACAAGAGCAGTTGTTGGCTGCTGTAAAGTTGTTTATTGCAGGAATGCATCAGTGTGGGAGGCAAAGAGCTCAGAGGGTCAAAGTCTGTGCTGGAGATTTCTGCTGTAGAGTCTGAGCAGCAGCAGCTCCCTGGCTGCCCTGGGGTTACAGAAACCCCCCAAAGGCTCTGCCACTTGTCACTGACTCCTGGTCCTGTGTCCCTGTCCCTTGTCCTGTGTCCCTTCCTTGGGCAGATTTTCGAGCAGTTTGTCAAGACCCGGGTCAGGGAGGAGTACAAAGAGAAGAAGAACAAGTTGCTGTTGGCCAAGGAAGAATTCAAGAAGCTTCTGGAAGAATCCAAGTTATCCCCAAGGTGGGCATTGCCTTAGGAAGGGTTGGGAAGCTCAGCTTTGTCATTTAGGCTGAGCTTTTCAGCCCAGAATTCTTCATAGCAAGTGGAAGATCCCTGTTCCAATGGGCATTTCTTCCCTGATATTTCCCAGTATTTTATTGTATTCCTGGGAGAGGAAATATTCCATCCCTCCCTCTCTCTGTCCCTTCCCTCTTCCCTCTCACCCTCACAATATCCAATACTGTGCACAGCACATTTATTTTATATTCCTGTATATGCTGTGGTGATAGAACACACATTACTTATGGAAAATCAGTAGCACAATGTTCAGCCTCATCTACATTACACATGCAGGTGTAATTACTCAGAAATTGTATTTAGCCTGAGCGTTTGGTGGAAGAGAAATATAATTTCATGAAGTTCCTGTTAATGCCACGCCATTAAATTTGGGGAATGTGTCCCTGTCCATGGCAGGGGGTTGGAACAAGATGATCTGTGAGGTCTCTCCCAGCCCAAAGCCTTCTGTGACTCTACAATTCTGTGATTAAATTAAAATACAGGAGCAAGGCACAATTTCTGCTTTACTTTGTTTTTCAAGTGATGGCCCCAGACTCGCAGTGGCAGTGGCAGTGCTCAGGGCAGTGCTTCCTCATTTGTAAATTACATGCAAATAAAGGGGTTTCTATTATAAATATTGTTAAATTGCTGGAACAAAGAAATTACTGTTTTCTCCGATAAAATATGCAGATAATTATTCAGCACGACCTGTGTGGGCACACGGATCCAAACAGCATGTGGGCTGTAATAATTGTAATTACAAGAAATCTTTTACAGCAGAATTAGGAATGTTTTGGGCTGGTGTCCCACCCAAACTCTGATATTCCCAGTCCCCAAGGGAAAAGCTGTGCTGGCCCAGAGGCCAGGAGCATTTCACCCCTGGAGGGCTCTGGGAGCTGACTGATTTAGGCACACAATGAGGGAAATAAATCCCAAATATTTGCAATAAAAAGCAAAGCATCACCTTGGGGAAAGGAGCTGGGCATGCAGCCTGAAAGGCAATGAAGGTGGAAAACCCTGCCAGGAGAGTGCTCACATTGGAAATACAAAATCTGCAGGAGCTTCAGTAAAAACTCCTGTCACAGCTCTGTGAACGTTGTGAGCGTGGTCCAGCAGCCTCCTGCCAACCTGCAATCCATTCCTCAATCCCAAAATTAATCCTTGCTCCTTGCAGCTGCTCCAGGTACCCAAAGCCCTGGTGTGGCCTCACATTCCTCAATCCCAAAATTAATCCTTGTTCCTTGCAGCTGCTCCAGGTACCCAAAGCCCCGGTGTGGTCTCGCCTCCCTCCATCCCAGATTTTCCATCCTGTTGCTGTCAGACATTCCCAGATTCCCTGTTTTTGGTGTGGATGCAGGTGCAGGAACCTGGGGGTGCCTTGGCACAGCCCCAGCTTCCCAAAAATCTCCTTTTCCACAGGACAACCTTCAAGGAATTCGCGGAGAAGCACGGCCGGGACCAGCGCTTCCGCCTCGTGCAGAAGAAGAAGGACCAGGAGCATTTTTTCAATCAGTTCATCCTCATTCTCAAAAAGAGGGACAAGGAGAACAGGATAAGGCTACGGAAAATGAGATAAAAGCGGCAGTGAAGGCACAGTGGCTGCGGGAGGGGATCCCAAGGATGCTCGGGGTCCAGGAGTGGCAGATCCCGAGGGAAAATCTCCTCTGGAAGGAGCCCCTGCAGCAGCCAGTGCAGCTGGGGAGGCTCTTCTGCAGCAATGGGAAGGATCTTTCGTTCTCAAAGAATTAATGTTTCATATTGAAGCTCTCTTTTGTACAACATCCCGAGTTCGATGCATTTCTAATTGCCGTGATATGTCGATCCCTTAATTGTTTTAATTATGCAAAATTACTTGTAATATACACAAGTTACGACTCCAATGCAGATTTATAATTAAGCAGAAGCAGATGCCATCCAGAGCGATCTCAAGGCGTTTTCCATCATTCCGGGGAATTCTCTCAAGCAATCTTTTTGGCAACTCTGCATTTGCACCAAGTGTGGGGGGTCTGGTGGTGTGCAGGACCCGCTCCCGCTGCTCATCCGTCTCTGTCCAGTCCTCTGAGTAGTAGTGATCAGCTTTTAATCGTTAATCTTGGTGAAGAGTGTGACAATCTTGGCACATGTTCCATCCAGAACTTCCCGTGGGCCCCTGAGCCTTCCAACCCCAGTTCTGTGGTGAAGCCATCCCAGTCGGATTTGGGTTCTGTTCCTGTGCGTGAAGAGTCTGCATGAGATTTTTCTCATCATATTTGTATAAATAAATATTTAACTTTTGTAATTATGAAGCATTTCAAGCCTGTTTTCAGGGGTGAAACTTTTGGAGAGTTTGATGGGTTTTGGTTTTTTTGCCAGAACTCAAGTGGAAAATGCTGTCAGGGTCAAGGGGGGGTTGTTGGGGTGGATCCTTGTGGGTCCCTTCCAGCTCTGGGATCCATGAAATAATGGGGAAAATACCCCAGGGCTGGTGATTTTTACTGGAGAGATGGGAAACCAGAGGGGGCTCCTGCCAGTCATGATTTGTGTGCAAATTCCAGTGGGATCCATCAGAAATCTGAGGATCTTGGGAACAAAAGAATCACTCTGGCTGCACACGTGGGATGTCGTGGCTGGAGGATCATCAGGACATCTCTGCCTTTGTGCTGCTCCAAAGATGCTCTGATTGCATTTTTTTTTTTTTTCTCAGGAGACCTAAAATTTAAGTTATTTCTCCTTAAATCCACAGATTTCTGTTTGCTGGAGTGACGGGGATACTTCCTCCAGCTCACAGTCGTTTTTATTTAGGTGTGGGCTGGATATTTTCATAATCAAGGAGATCAAATCCTGCTGCCTTGGAAAAATGGACTGGGAATAATTCAGAGTGGCAGAACGAGGGGGAACATCTTCCCAGTGCCAGAGGGCAGGAAAAGTGGCAACAATGGGATTTGGGAAGGAATTCCTGGCTCTGGGGGTGGGGAGGGACAGGGAAAAGGGATTCTCCAGGTGTTGGCACCTGTCCCAGGCCACATCCAGGTGCTCTGAGTTTCCCATCAGCTGCTCCAGGTTTCCCCAGCTCTGAGGGATCTCCTGGCTGTGCTCCTGCTCAGGTAAGTGCCCTGGGGATTTTGGATAGCTGCATTATTTTTTATTTTTTAATTTTTTTTTCGGTTTTCAAGGTGGAGAAACATTCCAAGGAGTGGACTGGTGTTAATGGTTGTTAATGGTTTTGAGTGGTTTCAAATGGGTTTTGATGGTTTGGAATGTTTTTTATTGGCTTTGAATTGTTTTTAATGGTTTTGAATGGTTTTGAATCGTTTTGAATGGTTTTTAATAGTTTTGAATTGCTTTGAACAGTTTTCAATGGTTTTGAATAGTTTGTTATGGTTTTGAATGGTTTTGAATGTTGTTTCATGGTTTTGAATGGTTTTGAATTGTTTTGAACAGTTTTCAATGGTTTTGAAGTTTGTTATGGTTTTGAATATTGTTTCATGGTTTTGAATGGTTTTGAATTGTTTTTATTGGTTTTGAATAGTTTGTTATGGTTTTGAATGGTTTTGAATGTTGTTTAATATTTTTGAATGGTATTTATTGGTTTTGAATTGTCTTGAATGGTTTTTATTGATTTTGAATGGTTTTGAATGCTGTTTAATGGTTTTAAATGTTTTTTTTTAATTATTTTTATTGGTTTTGAATGCTATTTAATGGTTTTTATTGGTTTTGAATGCTGTTTAGTGGTTTTTATTTGTTTTGAATCGTTTTGAATTGTTTTGAAAAGTTTTGAATAGTTTTTTTAATGGTTTTTGAATGGTTTTCAGTTCCACCAAGAGCCTTGAGAAGCTGAAACCTCCCCAGGTGCCCAGGCCAGGGCATGGGGGGCAGCTGCATTTGGAATTGTTGGATCAAATGAGGGGGAGGAGAAAAAACCCAGGGAATGCTCCAGATGGAGCTCAGGGTTTGCCTCCCCAAGGATGAGACCCTGAAAATTAGGAAAGCTGTAATTAAAATGTGAATTAAGGTGGAATGGGCTGCCAAGGGCTCGAGTTTGTTCATAAAATGCTGATAATGACTTTGCTTGGCTGATGGGAGGAACAATTTGTGTGCTGATATCCTTGGCTGGATTCTATTGGTGTGAACCCAGGATAAATAGGAGGAAAAATCAAAGGTGGTGATGTCACGTGGCTTTTCTTTATTTAAGAAAAAGGCAAAATCCTTAGGGAAGAAATCGTGCACAATGTGGAGAATAGGCAAAAAGTGATTTGGGGAGGTTTTGGTGAGTTTGGAATGTTTTTTTTTTTCTCTGCTTTTCAACCTCTCATCGAGGCTACAGATTTTTTTTTAGTGGTTGAGCAAGAGTTAAAGCCATTTTTTTCTCTTTTTGAAGTACTTTGTGACTGGTTTTTTTGTTTTTTTTTTTTTACTTCACTCTTCATATTTTGATTTCTTCTCTCGAGTTTACTTTGGTAAATATTGCTTTCATCCCATTCCCCTGGGAGCAGCTTTCCAATCGCTGTGATCATTGTTGGGAGAGCTAATCCCGAGCAGAAATGAAGGCAGAGAAATGAAAACAAATGGAGGCAAAGTTCCCAGGAGGCCCCGAATTTGCTCTTGTGGATTCTCAGTGAGATGCTCTGGGTTGGCTGCTGTGAAAATTCCCCCAATTTATTCTCCAGGTGTCAGTGCAATGTCCTGGCATTGGGTTTCCTTGGCAGTGACTCTGGGAATTCACTTTTCTGGGGCCTTGCTCACCTTGAGGTTGTTGTGTTTAAAACCTCCACACTGGGAAGGGAAACTGGGACAAACTGGGATTGCAGAAATGATGTTTTTCCTTGGAAAGGGGATGGAGTTTTCCCCTTTTTGTGGTTGTTCAGGCCCAGAAAAAAACTCTTGTGAGAGTTTTTCCAGTCCAGCTTTCTCAGGCTCAGCCTGGGATTTTTCCCAAAGCTAACCTCCTTTCTCTAATGTAAATATAAGAATTAATAATAAAGATCAGACACCTGCCAGACACGTGTCTAGGTCGACTTTCTCTGCACCAATCAGCTTTATTGTGGTTTTTTGGAGCTGCAAAATGCTCTCCTTTTTAGAATGAATTAATCTCTTTCCTATCACGACAGGGACAGTGTAGCTGTGCCTTATTTCCACCACCCCAAAGGGTTAAATTTCCTAACCCACACCTACACCCTTTCTGCAGACACCTGGAGCTGCCCTGGAGCTTTTCAGCAGTTCCAGAAGTTGGTGGTTACTGCACTGGAGAGAGAGAGAAAAAGAGCCAGCAAAGACAGCAACACACACGGGCCTCTTTAGGGAAAAAAAAAATAACTTTATTGAACAGACAACCTGTATTTAAAGCGTGTTATGGAGAGCTAAGACAGGGCAGGAGCTCATTGGATAATTGGGAAAAACATTTATGAGAATAGACTAGAACCTTAGAATGTGTCCCACAGAAAAACACCAGGTGTTCATTTTTATTGTGAATTTCGTATTGTTTTGACTGGATTTCGTTCTGTTTTGACTAAATTATTACCCCGGGAGAATTTCTCCCCAGCTGAAGTTAAAATCCAGTTTATCAGCCTGGGAATGGAGCTGAACATTTTCCAGGCTGTAATTTTCTGTGTGTCCACAGAAGTTCCTCTCAGACACTGAACTGGGTTCCCCTGTCTGGATGCTTCCCGTTTGTCAGAATTGCTCTGAATTGAATTTTTTTCTCCTCCTTTCCTATGAGGAGCCTACAAAAAAAAAACCCTACAACTGCTTTTTGATCTGTTGTATTTCCTTATCCAGGCTCAGCAGGGTTTGGCTTTGGGGGAGAATGGAGGATTTATTTTTTTTGTTCTTTATTTTTTTACACTCGGAGAGTTGATCCTGCCCTCTCATCTTCACTGCAGACCACAACCCCATCCTTTTCCTTCTCCTTCTTTAATATAAATGAATACTTTGCCAATATTTAACTCCATTTCAAGATCATTTTCAAGAAAAATCATTGAATGGTCTGGCTTGGAAGGGACCTTAAAAATCATCTCCTTCCCCCCAGTGCCTTCTGTGGCTGATCATTTTGGAGTTAGCTGCTGATAAAAATGAAGGGGTTGATTTAAAAAAGGCAAAGAAATCTTTGCCAGTTCACTGAACTTTCTCTGATCACTCCTTTCTCGGCTTGGTATTTATTTAGAGAGGAAAAAAAAACCAAACCTGTCTTTGTGAATTCTCCTGCTCGTTTAAAGTGCACATCTCAGGCAGCTTTTCAGGGGCACTGGAGTCTCCAGTTCTTCTGGGAATTTCCTGAGCTGGAATTGGAAAATTCCCAAATGAATTTTTCCACGTTTACCTGTTGGAATCAATTTGGCCATCATTGGTTTTTGAAGCAATGACACCAAAAATTCCCAAATTAATCTAAAATTAATCCGAAATTAATCCAAATTCCCAGCTTTGCTGTGGCTGCCCCTGGATCCCTGGCAGTGCCCAAGGCCAGGTTGGACATTGGGGACAGTGGGAGGTGTCCCTGCCATGGCTGGGGTGGCTCTGGGGAGGATTTGGGATCCCCCCAACCCAAACCAGTCAATTCTTCGATCTTAGATTCTTTACCCCACGAAACCAAATATATTTTATCTATTTCTCCTTTATCTCCTTCGAAGAGCAAAGCCTTTCCCTGGAATCACAGCAAAGCTGCTTGGAACAGGCAGTGCCTGCAAAACAAGAACATATTTAACTTTAAAGAGCATTTTTAATAAAGACTTCTCCATCTGAGGGGGCTGTGATTGTAGGCTGAGACTTTCAAGGCCCGTGTTTTGTTTGTATTAAAAATAATTTTTCCCCTCAGATGCGATGTTTTCCCTCCTAAAAGAATAAAATATTGATTTAATAATTCAGACACAGTCAGCTGGAGGTTGATGTGTCTGGGTCTTCTGCACTGATCTCCTTACAAATTGTTTTTATGGTTTTATTGTGAACCAAAAGCTGCTCCTGTATTCTCCAAAATGCCCAGGGTAGCTGGGATGTTACAAAGGCAGGGAAAATTCTCTTCTGCAGAGCTGGAGGTGATGCCCAGAGTGGAGGGAAACAGCTCTGGGTGGCTTTGGGGGAGTGCCCGTCCCTGGGGGGGTGACAGGGCTGTGGGTGGCACTTGGGGACACACACGGGGTAGAGATAAAGGAATAAAAGAAGGATTTATTAAAAGCCCTTCCAAGGATTCACCCTGGGAATAAAAAAAAAGGGAATTTTTGGGAATAAATAAAGGGAATTACTGGGAATAAATAAATAAAGGGAATTTCTGGAAATGAATAAATAAAGGAAATTTCTGGGAATGAATAAAGGGAAT